CCGGGCTGTGGTGTCCTGATACCAGGCTCTTTTTGGGGGGTGGGCGAGAGTGTTGTTTGAGAACATGGACTCGACGGCGGCTCTGCCTGAGTTCAAACCCCAGTCCTGCCACCTCCTAGCAGTGTGGACAAGTTGCCCAACCTCTGCCTTGGTTTCCTTGTTTTTAAAATGAGGCTAATAAGAGTACCTACTTCCCGGGGTAGTTGCAAGGATTAAATTGGTTAATTCGTGTAAAGTGCCTGGAGCAGTGCCTGTACAAGACTATGTACGTGTTTGCTGTTATTTGAATGGGGTTGAACTGTGCGTGGATTTTAACCCTGGTCCGGCCTAACTCTAGTTCCCAGGCTTGACCACGCCCACTACTTCATGGCTCCGCCCAGCCTTCAGTACGGCCCCGCCTCCAGGAGTTTGCCACGCCCAACATTCCGATCACACCCACTTTACTGATCCAGTGCCTGAGTTGATTGTCTCTTGACAATCGACTGCTCACGGGGCCCTCCTCCGGGCCTCTGGCCCAGCCAGGCATTTTGACTGCGGCCACTTTCGCGTGATCCAGTCCCTGAGTTGAGGGTCCCTCTGCAGCCTGAGATTTGACCATGCCTACTACGACCACGCCCATTTCTGCCAGGCAGTGACCCAGGCTCCGCTCCACCCGGCTGCCAGTGTCTGACACGCCCCCACCTGGTCGCAACTCAAGTGACCTCCTCCCCAGGTTCTGATTCTGCCCAGGCTAACATTCTGGCCACGCCCTCAAACTCTAATCACTCCCCTTCCTGAATCCCCCATTCCCTGCAGAAACTCCCCCCAAGCTTCTGCCCTTGGTGCCACCCCTGGGACTCAGTGGGAACTCTCCTTAACATTCATTCATTAGCCATGCCCACTAACCGGGCTCCTCACTGACCTACACTCTGGGTCCCCTAGAAGACCCGTACTGTCCACGCCTAGGTTCTAATCCAGCCCCTTAAGGTTTTGACCACGCCCCTCAGTGTTGGCTCCGCCTTTCCAGGCCTTCCGCTCCGACCACGCTTTCTCAGCTCGGTCCCTCCAGGCTTCCGGCACTGTGCCCCTATTCTTAACTAGTTGACCTCACTCTAGGTTACCATCTCGTAGCCTGGGGCATCACCCTAAATTCCCCATCCTTTTCAATGCCTATCTGAGGTCCTGGCCCCACGGTCTATGACATGACCCCCCTCCGACACTTACCCTTCCTTTTTGGCGCTACAGTTGCTGCTAGAGGATGTGGTGCGGCTGCGGGGGTCTTCGCGGCGCACGGAAGCGAGGCGCTCTGGTGACAAGTAGCGGCGGGCACTGCACAGAAAGAGCACACAGTTAGGGGCGGGTCCAGCAGGCGAGTGATGGAGGAGGGAGAGAACCTCTAGGCACCTTTCAGTACAGGAGTTCCGGCACTTCAGTCCATCCCTCTCCATATGAACTCTGTATGAACTCTGTTTCCCACAAGGTCTTAGAGGAGCGTGGGAATCCCAGTTTCTGTGCCTTACCTGCGCCCGGAGGTCGCCTCCTTCTTGGGCGAGGATGGGGAGGTGGCATAGCCGCCAGCGCGCCGAGGGGGTCCTGAGCCATTGAGGGGCGTCTTGTTGGGAAAGCCTTTCAAGAGCTGACACACTAGAGAGATGGAGTTAGGGGACAGAAGCAGGTGACTGTGAGGTCCGAGCCCCGGGCCCTCCCTATCTCACCCCTCCAGTCCAGGGAAGATACCCGAGGCTGTGGTGCCCAGGCGCGGAGGCGCCCGGCCCTTGGGGGTGCTCCGCGCGCGCAGCGCGGCGCCCTGCTCTTCGCACGCCCTTAGGCGACGCAGCGCGTCAGCCAGCGCCGCCTTTAGGACCGCCAGCTCGTCTTCCTGCAGCTGCAGCCGCTGCTCCAGCGCCGACACGCGGTCGTCCACCTCCATGCCGCTCGTGCCTGACAAATTGTCATCTGGAAGGCAGGGGAGGGCTGGCTGCGGAGGCCACCCAGGAACTCCAAAGCCCAAGGTGTCCCTCCTGCGTTCCCGCGTGTAAGCGAGGCCAGCCACGCCCCCTTCCTCTCCCGCAACCGGGGGCTGGGACGCTTGGAGATGGGCCAGAAAGAGGGCTCCGAGCGGGAAGGAAATCCCCAAGGCTCTCACCGCTTCCTCCACATTCTGCTCAGCACCCTGGAGCTGTGACCTTAGGGAAGTCCCTTCCTCTCTTTTAAGTCTACGAATCAAGAGACTTTCGACTCTGGCTTTAAGATTCTATGACTAAGATGCTAAATATTTATGAGTGATATCAACATTTTAAGGATGACATCAACATTCCTAGTGACACCAACGTTCTAGAAATGATCTCTGAAGACCATCAATATTTTATCGCGAGTACTAACGTTCCCTCTCTGTTTAAGACTTTCCAAAACTAAAAGGTCATGCCTGGTCCCTCCTCTTCCCATTCTGTCCCCACCAAGGGGTTGGAACCTAGAGCCGCCCGCAAGGACAGAGTTTCTGCGCCCCCTGGCGACAGATTTGAGGGTTGCAGGTAGCGCATCGCAGACCCAGAAGACCCAAGAAAGGTAGATGCGGGGATCAGACACCTAAACTCTTTTTCAGTCGGAGTTTCTCTCCTCTGCTCCCCTTCTTTATTTCGCTTCTGTACGCCACGCCCCAGATTAGTCTCTCCCTCTCCTTCTAGCCCTTGGGTTGCAGCCAGATAACTCCTCCATCGCCCTTCGGGGAAATGGGAGGGGCAGAGGACCAAGGTGGTCCTCTTTCCCCCCTCCTCCCAGACCACTCATACCCAGACTCATTGCTGACAACAATCGAGGAAGCCTTGGCTCCCAGCCGGGTGGGTTTGAATGTAGTAGCATTAACAGGGACGGGGCGTGGAGGTCGCACCTGCCATCCCGCAGCTGTAGGCTGCCCTGCCCGCCCGCTGGGCTCCGCAGTGCAGCCCTCGGTCCCTCCTCTCCCTCTTCCCGCGGCCCAATCGCCTGCTGGGCCTCGCCCGCCCTGCCCCCCACCCAGCGCCTCTCTGGCCCAGTGCCTCCCTGGTCCGGACCTGCAGAGGAAAGTGGGAGCCTCCCAAGATTGGGGGAGATGGCTGTCAGGGCTTGGAACTCAGGAGGGAATCCCGGGGTCCCGTTGGCATCACATATGCAAAGGACGGAAGTTGGAGAAATATGCAGAGACGCTCCAAACGTCACACAGCCAATAGGTGAGGGGCAGGAGGGCCCAATCACCGCGTTGTGTCGAGCCCCCTCTTACTTACCATTAATACTACCAAAAAAAAAGAGCTCTGCTATAGCGGGCTTACATGCGGCAGGCACTATTTGTGCAAAACGCTAAGCACGTTTCAATTTTATGGTACCTAATGCTCCCAGCAACTCTAGCAGTTGTGTTATTATACCCATTTTAGGAGGAGGGGAGGAGAAAGGGGACTGAGGCCCAGAGAGGTGAAGTTGCTTGTACTTGGACACACAGCCTTTCAGCAGCAGAAAAAGTACTTGACGGAGGCTTAAGCACCAGGTCATTCTGCCTCTTAGGGGGGCAGAGCAGGACAAAATGAGCAAGCATCCTGGTCCTCCGCCAACTCCAGTGGTCCCCAGCTCTGGGGTGTGTACCCAGGGCAGTAAGCCTCTAAACTGGAAGAGGGCCCTTTCTTGGGGCTTCCTGAGTGAATAGAGGAGCTTTCACCTTGGCTCTTCAGCCCCCACCCAGAGAGGTCAGCTGCATTCTGAGGCCTTGGCCTGTCCCGACACTCCCAACCATGACTCAAGTCCTCTGATCCCTCCAGACCATTCCCCCACCCTCAGTCCTTTTGCCCAGAGACCACTCCCCACTTACCATTTTTCCTACCACCTCCCCTCCCCTGTGCCTCCAGCTCCCTTCATCTGGACCTGACACCCACAGTGCCCTTCTGCTATCATACTCATTTGTCTAAAGGGAAGAAGTGGGTCCTAATGGATGGGAGGGGTGGGGCCTAAGGATTTGGGGTTTAGTAGAGGCAAAGTCCTCTGGTGGTCCTCCAGGGTCTCATACCCAGCCCACCAGCCAACACCAAATCCCACCCTCCCCCTAACCTGTCTGTCCCTCTGCCAGGGAGAAGGAGGAGGGTCCCAGAGGACTGAGAGGGGAAAGAGGAGACAAAGTTCCAGACCTCCAGGCCTTCTCCCCTTCAACCCCCTGAGGAGAGGAAGGTGGAAGCAGGGGTGACTGAGATCAGGGCTTTGGGGATCAGAGACCTTGCTCTGGGGTCAGGGTCCTTCTGGGAGAGAAACGGAGATCTCTAGCAAGGGCGAGGATGGGGACTTGGAAGCAGGAGGTTGGGGCAGGAGACGGGTCCAGCCCTGGGCAGGGCCAGGGTCGGGAGTGTGGAGGGGTCTCACCGTTGCAGTACTGAAGCAGCGAGGACGTGTCGTAGAGGCCGCAGAAGGCCGGGCCGCGCTCCGCCATCGCC